CCTTATACCCCTTCCCCCTGCCCGCCCCATGCCATAGAAACTGATCTAGCCCCGTATGTGAATTCCGACATGCCTTTGTCTCTCTGGACAGCTGCATGGTGCACTTCTGGCCACAGAGACATAGGTGGAGGTGCCTGTCTCCAGGTTTCTCAGAAAACTCTTGCCTTCCTGATACAGGAGTCACCCTATCTTCTCCCGATTTCTGCCTTGAATGCAAATGCAACATCTAGGGCTGCAGCAGCCACCTTGCAACCATGAGGGAACAGCCCCGAAGATGAGAGACAATGTGCTCGGGATCAGGACCGAAGGAGCCAGGGTTCCCGGCAGGCTTTTCGAATAGCTGAATCCATGCTGGCAACAACCGACTTTCAGAAATGCGAAAACATTAGCGTTTATTTTTGAACTCTTATTGCCAGGATTTTGTAACCGTCTCCATTCCGAACTAAGGCAGGCAGTTTCCAGTGTCCGGCATTGACGTGGTCCGCAAAGCGGCACGTCAGAGCCAGGGTGGGAGCCGAGCGGCATCCGTCACAGAACCAGTTCCGCAGCATTATTTTGAGTGTAGTTCCTCTTTCTTAGCCTCCAAACTCCCCCAGAAGTCCTAAAGGTTTTACAAGTGACATAACGTGTCTTTTAATACGTTCTATTTCTCAAATTCTATTTGCTCAAATTCGCCACAGTTTAATGAAAAAAGATGAGGTCATCAGTGCGGGTCTGAATCCAATATGATTGATGTCCATATAAAAGAGAGATTTCGGACACAGAGACGCACACAGAAAGAACACGGCAGAGATGAAGGCAGAGGCTGGGGAAACTGATGCCAGGGGCGGTGGCCGCAACATACCGCCAGGGCATCGGGGAGAGCGTGAGATGGATGATCTGGTCTGGTCGGCTCTAAGGACGGTAAAAATTCAAGTAGCGTTAAGACAGTTCATGGCACACGTGATCCCTTGTGGTCACTCGCAGTGAAGGTCACCAGTGCCGTGAAGGACCCACATCGAGAAACCAAGAGCACGAGGCACAGAGAATCGAGCGCGGGGGGCGGAGGGGTGGATGCTGATGGCTGGAAAGCTTAAGATGTGGATGGCGAGGTCTTGAATCCTAGTTCAGGGCAGTCTGAAAATCGGGGACTTTCACTGACTGTGTGAAATGAATAGCTTATCTTTTGTAACCGCAACCAAACCGAAAGACAGATCTGTGGGTTCCTGATTCACAACATCTGTTCACTTCGCACGCTCTTGTCTCTCGCTGATAGTCCGGGCACTGAGTGAGCATCCGGAGGTTCTGCGCGGGGGTGCGTGGGACCGAGGGCGACAGAGCACAGCCTCCCTAGTCACAGGGAAGAACCCCTTCTCCCTGTGATAAGAAGCTGTCCCTCACTCGCTTAAGACCTACGATGTCCTGCCCGAGGCGGTCACTTTGCAAGGGGAATGCAAGTCCCCTCGGACGCCCCTCTTCTCATTGTCTTCAGACCCAAACCACAGCGGGACGCCACCACGTCCTTCATGTTATAAAACCCGAACCTGGACGGTGGAGGCTTATACAGCGAAGAAACCGCGAGATTTTGCTCTTTATCTTGGTGAAAGCCGGGCACACACGTGGGACTTCCCGAGGAAGTGTAGCTCGGATGCTTCCTGGGGCCGGAGCCGGTGCTGGCTCGCTCGGTCAGCTGAGGCCACTCCAGGAGCAGTCGAGGTGCCTGAATAATGTAGGAGCAGGAACCGAAGTAAATAGGAATGTTGGCGAGGATATATTGTGCATGACCCACCCACCGATCCCCTCACCCTGTCCCCTGAGAGGGACCAGAAGATACTCCCTTCGTCAAGACGCTGAGAAATTCGTGGGTGAGGGAAGAAGCGCCACCACCTCTCACAAGCACTGTCATGGCTATTTTATGCACATCGGGGGTGCCGTGGAGAGCCGCTGGGGTTCGACAGCCTCCCTCCCAAGTGCCAGAGGCCAGGGGTGGCACGGCCAGCAAGAGAGGCGAGGTCATCTCAGTAGAAGACGTGATGACTGTGACCGTTCCCAGGGCCGGTCTGGGGATCAGAATCGTCTGCACCTCAGATATCTTTGGGAGAAACAAGCCGAGCCTGAGCCCCTAGGACCAGATGGATGGGTAGCCCTCTACGCCTCACAAAATTCACATGACAGAAGCAAACCGAAAGCTCTCCGGGGCTGACTTAAGTCACCAGCAGACGGTCTGGTACCCATACCAGTTCTTAGACCTGAACTTGATTGCTACAGACATACTGAATCCCTACAACATCCCCACTTGTGTCCAGTTGCTGTAGAGGACGGACAGGTCTTGGACAGTGGCCATGGGTTATCAGAAACTTACTAAGGTGGAGACTTCAACATAGCCCCTTGAGGAAAATGGGTTTTCCCCATTCCCAATAAGCAAAGAACTCCAAGAGCTGCTTCGTCTCACCTGGCAAGGATGACTTTCCATCTTGCTTCAGAGTGTGTCACCTCTGGCACCACGCCATAGTATGATCTACGGAAATCATCACCTCAATATTCTTTGGGATATCACGGTGACTACTGCCCTGATGATCTATGCTATGAAGGTCACAAGGGCAGGAATAGTAGTTATTCCAGATGTCAGTAAGAAACACTCAGATCGTAGCGTGAGAAATAAATCTCAGGAATCTACAGGGCTGTGACCTCTGGGAGGATTTTGGGGGGTCGTGACCTAGGTTGAGAGCTGGCCTGCAAAGTGAAGGATGGATTGTACTTCACACCATCGGCTGTAGGAAAGAGAGATCCAGTGCTCTGAGGGCCTCTTCATGGAAGCAACATTTGACATGCCCTGGGCCTCTCAAGACAAGCCACGTTTTTTTAGTACAATAAAATATAAAGATATTTTTGAATGTCCAGGCAAGCACAGGGAAGACATGGGTACATAATGCATAGTTTCTGTCTTAGGAAATTTCTAAACGAGCGGCATAACTGACTGTTACACAAGGTTGCTCTGTAAGCACACGGGTGGTGGTGCACCGAACCTAATCCTGAGGAGATAGTGCGTGGCGTGGTCTGGGAAGACTTCCTGGAGGAAGTGACCCCCTTAGATGAAGAGAATCTGGCCAGTTTTTGCAGGAAGGGGCAGAGGCAGTTCTCTTGGCCTGGGGAGTTCAGAGGTGTTAACGCTCTTCTCAAGAGACTCCGGGGAGGTGCTGGCAGGACAAGGGTAGGAGTCTGGACTTCACTCTCAGAATGAAGGAAAGAACATTCTGGTTGCTCTATGCAGAATAGATCGGGGGAAACAAGATCAGAGGTGGGGACACCCATTCCATGTTTCCTTTTTAAATAGGGAGACGGGGAAAGGCTAGAGGAACCAGAAAAGGAACTTGACACCAAAGTCACACCTGGCCCCGATGGATCACCTGAGACATATTGGAAGGGTGTCCACACTACATGATTGGGAGGAAAAGTAGGGCTGGACGGGTCCAGGCTCTGAGGGGCCCTTTTTAGCAAAAAAAAGATGACACAATTAGGCACAAAGTTGACAACAGGCATCCTTACGTCATTGTGCTTTGCTTTATTGTGCTTCACAGGTGGTGTGTTTTTTTACAATCTGAAGGCAAGACCCTTCACCAGCAGAAAGAGTACCACTCGTTTTATTGCGGTGGTGGGGGACCCAGCCCGCAGTATCTCCTAGGTGTGCCTATATTTAAGATGAGAAAATAAATCGCCAGAAATTACTGGAGCGTTGGACAGTCGGGTCCCTTCTTCTGTTTACCGGAACTGCTTGCTTAGAAAAGCTTCCAGAGGCAGCTTGGCGTCCCCTCTCTGCGCAGAGCGCCCTACAACTCGGGCACACCCCCGGGGTAAGGCTAGAGAGGCGCCTGGGGACTAAACTAAGTCCACTTCACCCCCTGGGAGGAGCCACCCGCCCAGCCGCCGGGAACGAGGGGCTCGAGGGTCCACCCTGCTGTGGGGGTTGGGTGGGGTGGGGGGGACAGGACGAGAAAGCGGGGCCACTCCACTCGGAAGTCCTGCGGGGCCGTCCGCTCACGCCCTGGGCTCCCCCCGCACCGATGCGCTGCTGGGAAGTGGGGGCGCCGCGCCCCGCCTGGCGCGCTGTGTGCGCGGTGCTGGTCTCCGGGAGCGAACGGCCTCAGGGACCATTCCTCCCTTACCAGCTCACAGACTCGACCTCAAAACACACACCCTGTCTTTGGCATTTCTGGATTCAGAAATAAACGTCATCCCCAGCATGAGCAGCCACGGAGTCCGTAAAGTTTTCCTTTTAAAGGAGAAAGGGACTGGCAAAGTTTGCTGTTTTTGAAATAAAAGAATGAACTTCTGCAAAACAACAAGTAACCAGCAGCAGAAAGAG